TAGTTTCATTCTTATGTGAAATATAAACTACTAAAGCAGACAAATTGGCAAGAAACAACAAAATTAAGTACTAGACTCAGTGAAAATTGTGGTGGATATGAACGGGAAAAGAGTAGATGAGTGAAATGAGCATGGCGGATCTTTTTGATGGTGGGATGGCACTGAAAATTTTGAGGTGGCAGTGGTGACAAGTACATGCATGTAGAAATATTAATCTAAATTACTGAATTCTATAATATTATACATCAATGATAAGCAAATGAAAAACATTAAATATTTAAGAGTGACTCAAGATTTTACTAAAAGCAGAAATAACTAGGTATATTATCTTTGTATAATTTTGTACATGTGTTAGTGGCAAGAAATATTTCAATTTCTTGGAGATAAGCAGAAAGCTACTGGCACTATCTCAATTCATATTCTGGGAAACTAAGAATGATATAACAGTCAACCATTAACAAACTGGTGATTAATATGTCTAGACAGGTTCTCACAAGAATTGCAAGAATTGATTACTTAATCAATGAATTAAGTAAACACAGTTTGATTAACCATGATAGCAAAAAATAATTTTTATAATAAATAATTTACTAGTACCCATTGATGAAGTAAAAGTAAATATTTTAATTTATTCATTTGTTATAATTTAGAGAATACGATTGGAAAATTCTGTTTGAAGGCCTAGAGTATGATGTAATATTTTTAGTGTTTTAATCTTTACCTCATGTTTTCAGATAATCGTGCTTCATATTTTAATTACTTTGACAAAATTTCTTTCTTTTATACATATCGAGATATTATTTATTAAAGACCATTAGTGAACAATTGGATATGACAAATTTTGTGTTACTATTCAATATGCTGTTCTTTTAAAACTGATGTTCTCCCATTTTAGTAGCAGAATAATATAATAATTATCTGAATAAGAAAGGATAACATACTAGTACTATGATCTGGCTGGAGTGATAGCACAGCGGGTAGGGCATTCGCCTTACAAGCGGCCAACATGGCCGACCCGAGTTCGATTCCTCTGCCCCTCTCGGAGAGCCTGACAAGCTACCGAGAGTATTCGATATGCCAAACACAGTAACAACAAAGTCTCCAATGGAGACGTTACTGGGCCCGCTCGAGCAAATTGACGATCAACAGGAGGGCCTTTACCTTTTTACCTTACTATGATCTCAGGCCAGAGAGCAAATACAAGGATTAAGGCATCTACCTTGCATGTGGTTAGCCCCAAATCAATCACCAATACCACATGTGGTCCCATGAAACCAGATTGTCCTGTCAGTAAGTTCCATCTGTAGAACCTTCCTCCAAAACAGCACAGCCGACTCTGAGAAGACCTTACCACCTAGCACAAACCTGCTCTGCCCAGCCCATCTCTCTCTCTCTGTCTCTCTCTCTGTCTCTCTCTGTCTCTCTCTCTCTCTCTCTCTCTCTCTCTCTCTCTCTCTCTCTCTCTCTCTCATTGTCATTTAGCTATTTCCTCACGGCTTTATTTGAGTCTGTTCTGGGCTAAAGTTATTAGCTCTGCCCCTGAAACAGGTTCTTGATTTCCACTACAGAAAAGAATTCATTCAAGAGCAAAACAGATGAAGTCATGAATTTGCATATAAGTGGATAGAGAGTATCACGCTAAGTGAAATGAGTCAGAAAGAGAGGGACAGAGAGGGACAGACATAGAATGACTGCACCCATTTGTGGAATATAAAATAACGTAATGTGAGACTGACACCTAAGGCCAGGAGGACTGCTCCATAGTTGGAAGCCTGCCTCATGAGCTGGGGGAGAAGGCAGCTGGAATATAGAAGGGATCCCTAAGTCAATGATGGTTGGAGGGATTGCTCGGGATAGAAGATGTGTGCTGAAGGTAGATAAAGGCTCAAATGTGATAGCCTCTCTCTCTCTCTCCCTCTCTCTCTCTCTCTCCCTCTCTCTCTCTCTCTCTCTCTATATATATATATATATAATAAACCATAATGCCCAAAAGTGAGAGAGAGTATGAGGGAAATTCTCTGTCATAGAGGCAGAGGGAGGGTTGGGATGGTGGTGCGGATCACTGTATCACTGTCATCCCATTGTTCATTAGTTTGCTCAAGTGGGCACCAATAATGTCTCCATTCATCCTAGCCCTGAAATTTAGCAGCCTCTCTTTACTCATCCTTCCCAACAGTGCTGCTTTGGAGACTCTTCTAAGGTGAGGGGAATGAGACCCATTATTGTTACTGTTCTTGGCATATTGACTACGCCACGGAGAGCTTGCCAGGCTCAGCCAGGTGGGCAGGATACTCTCGGTAGCTTGCTGGGTTCTGGGTAGTAGTGATACTGGGGATATTTGTGGTGGAAAATATGTACTGGTGGAGGATCATTGTATGACTGAAACTCAAATATGAAAGTTTTGTAACTGTATATCACAGTGACTCGATTTAAAAAAGAGAGAGAAAATCAGAGTTTATTAAAGTAAAATATAATCACTCAAGAATCCAAGCACAGGCATAAACTAAAGAGAGTAACATTGTTTATAAGAAGTTCTTTATGGAGAACTTAGAATACACACTCAGAGTGAAGTTGCACTAGAGAGAAATAGTGCCATTTCCATACAGATTTCAAGGTTATATAGTATAGAATCAGGCAAAAATATTAAGTGTAGAATATGCACAGGTATTTGATAAAAAGGAGGAGAATGGGATAAGGATAGTGATTTTCAGAGTCAAAGCCCAATCCAGATACAAACCACAGAGGATTGTTTTCTGGTGTTGCCATGACAATTGTAAACTGTTTTTGTATGTATGATTGTGAGTTTTATCATGCAAATGTACTATAATGAATAGATATGATGTAAGTGGAAGTCATCAGTAGATCACTTGGTCCTCCATCTTGAGTTTACTTGTCTCTAACTGGAATATTTTCCCATGAGAGGTAAAGTTTTCTAACTCCTTTCCTAAGTCAGTTGCATACCACATCATATTGACTGTTCTATCTCAATTTGACTTTTTTCAAAGTGAGCATTATATGCATTGACTTCAAGAATAATGAGTGTGAAATAAACTTAAAAGAGAAGTTTGTTGAAGAAATTCTTCAGTCAAACTGAGAATCTTAGGCCTGAGAAGCTTTCAACATATTTCTCTCAATGGCTGATCTGCTTTCCCAGGTTCGCACTTAGTTTATATAGGTGTGTTACATGAACAATTGCATAGGCAAATTATTCTTTAGAAAAACATATATCGAGTAAATTTGTAACATTTTCACTAATTAAAAGAGGGTTTTTTTATATTCTTAATGATAAAAGTGAAACATTATTCCTAACTTCCAAAGGATTTTCGTTTCATAATCAGCTCAGCCAGAACTATATCTAAAGACAATATACAGATATATTTTTCTATCTGTAGGGACAATATAAGACCCAAAGTTTATTTGAATCTCTGATCCTAAGAAATAGCTTAGAGATGTGAGACTTCTGTTAGGCATTATCTCATACCTTTTCCTCCCAGCAGCTGGGGAGCATTATGGATTTGGCGAATCATATTGTAGATTTTTTTCATGTTTCCTTTGCTTTATGCTGCGGGGTCCTTCACTGAAAAGCAATTGTCCTGCTGACCTCAGCCCCAGAAGCTACACTTTCAGAGCAGAGAAGATATTTCCAATAGAACAGAAATGAGTTTTCTCTTCTGTGTTCATATATACTAACCCACTGCCATCTCCAAAGTTTGGGATATCAAATTTCCCAAGCAGTTCTTTGAAGTACTCTTCTTGTGATCTAGTATGAGGAGAGGAGCCCCAATAGTGGGGTAAGAAGGGACTTCCCTTCTTGGCAACCCCCTCTGTAAAACCTCACCAATCCTGATTCTCACCCCTATCTACTTGGACAGTTTCCAACACCAGCAATGTTGTTCTCTGCCTTGGGAACCTCACAGTCTTTGACAATGGAACTCTTAGTAAAGTTTCCTTCTCAAATGTTGTTTTATTGGGTGGGGGTAGGGAAACACTTTAACACTGCTGAAAAATACAGGGAGTAAGACTATGAAGCTTTTGTGGTATCTATTTTTCAATCAAAGTGCTTATCAGAGTAATTTTAGACCAGATTAAGTTTACTAACCATTTTATTCTCCAGGAGTTAAAGTTTCTCCATCTCTATAGAATAATATCAACTTCTCCAAATAATAAGAGTAGAAAATAGTATGAAATACTAGATGCCTAGAAGTCTACATTCCAGTACTTGCATTGTTCTCTTAATCACAGATATTTAAAATATAAATTATCCCATCTATTTTATTTTATGAATGATGAACTTAAACAATGTACTTTCTTACAATATAAAAATAATTAATATTGGAATAGAATTGTGAACTCTGAACATTTTGAATTCAATTTACAAATATATTTGTCTTACTTTTGTGACTACTAAACAGTCACAAAATAACTACTATTTAATAACTACTGCTATATTATTAACAGTGGTAATAATGAGATTACTGCAATACTAAAGATTTTTGTACAGTTAAAAATTGAAATTTATGTTCCAAATAAATTGTGATGACTTAGAAATATAATCAAAATCTAAGTGAACTATTTAGAAATTGTTTTCCCCAATCCTATATGCTCTTTTAGAATACTTAAATCTAGGGCTGAAGCAACAGGACAGCAGGTAAGGTGCTTGCCTTACACATGACCAAACGGGGTTCAATTCCCAGCGTCCCATTGGTCCCATGAGCACCACCAGGAATAATTCCTAAATATAGAGCCATCAGTAAACTCTGAACACTGCTCGTTATGGCCCCAAAACAAACAAACAAACAAATAGAATACTTAAATATAAGCAAAAATGAAAACCCTCTTGAAAATCATAGCTAGTATTTGAAATCAAGATCTCTTGTTACAACTATAGATATTAAAGATAAAATCATACATTTCCTTATTTTTTCCTCCTATCTTACACATGTTCTGTAGATATGAACATTTTTCAAGTCACCTTAAAGTATGTTTTTTCTCTTTTGCAGTTGGTTGGTTTTGTGTATGCCTGTTATGTGATCAGTATTTTCATGGATGAGGAAGACACCTGTAAGTATTGCTATACTGTCTGAGTGTTGAATTAAATGAGGTGTAGCTTCCAAATTAATCCAAATAGATTATTAAATCTTTACTATAACTGAACTCAGTATGCTTAAGTTACAATGATCACTTACAAATAAACTACATACAAATATGGTTTCACTAAGTATTAAAACTTTTAATCCTAGTTGTGTGGGGGGGTTGCAGAGGCATGAAAGCTAATGGTTAATTTCATATCCTTTCTTAATAAATTTGCACCAGACACCTAAGCATCATGCTGAGTATAAAATCAAGAGCTTTTCTTTCATCATCAAGTGCAAAGATGCTGGCTACAGAATTTTGAAATCTGACTATTAGCAATAAAGGTGATACAACAGATCATAAATCTTTTTCTATATAAACTATATGAAATGTACAAAAAAACTAAACCCTTAAGAAAAACATTTTTAAAGAGATGTTAGGGAGTCAGAGATATAATACAACAGGTAACGTACTTGCTTTGCTTGTGGATGATCAGGCATTAATCCCCAGCACCCCATATGTTCCCCAGAGCCCACCTGGAGTGATCCCTGAGTGCAAAGCCAGAAGTAAGCCCTGAGTAACTCCAGATGATGCCCAAAACACACACAAAAAGAGAGGGGTAAACAAAACTACATATTTTAGCTGAACTCTAAGTAAAATACATATACGATTTAAGATTATGTGGACAAACATTTAACCACATAGATAATAAGTGGTATTTACTGAGCTCATGTATAAAACACTTGATACAGCTCTATTATTAGTTAATAGAAATAGCAAAGGACATTTCTTTTTTTTTTTGGAGTTTTTTTTTTGTTTTTGTTTTTGATTTTGGCCCAACCATCAGTGTTCTAGGGAATTATTCCTGGCTCTGCAATGGGGGATTTGTAGGGGGAGGGACATTTCCTGTGGTGACTGGGTGTCATGCAGTGCCAGGAATCAAATCCAGCAAGGCTCCCTCATGCAAAGTATCAGCTAACACCACTGAGCTATCAGCCCTTTATTTATTTTAAGTATTTTTGTTTCCTTGTTTTTTGCTTTTTGGGTCACATCTGGCAATGCTCAGGAGTTACTCCTGGCTCTGCACTCAGGAATTACTCCTGGTGGTGCTCAGGGAAACATATGGGATGCCAAGGATTGAACCAAGACTGGCTGCATGCAAGGAAAACCCCCTACTCGCTGTACTATCACTCCAGCCTCCAAGTAATAATTTTTAAGTAAAATATAGATCAAGTCCAGCCATGCCACAGATTTGGCCTAGTCATTATAGTTACTTTGTATCTCACAAAACTGTCTATTTAGCCACTCTAACCTCTTTCTAGAACAGAATTCCAAATAGTCTAAGAAATACTTCCTATGAAATAGATGCAGTGTATCCATATGTGAACTAGAATCTAGCTGAAAGTGAGCTGTTGTTTGTATTTATTTGACCAAATGGAAAAAAATTAAAGCCTCAATTAGCACAATGGGCAGGGAGTTTGCCTAGCATGCAGCTGACCTGGGTTCGATTCCTCAATTCCTCACAGAGAGCCTGGCAAGCTACCAAGAGTATCCTGCCCGCAGGTCAGAGCCTGGCAAGCTCCCCATGGCATATTCTATATGCCAAAAACAGTAACAACAAGTCTCACAATGGAGATGTTACTGGTGTCCACTCAAGCAAATCGATGAAAAAGAGGACAGTGCTACAGTGCTGCAGATTAAACACATCAGGCAGTGAAAATGTGCAAACATGCCACTGCATCACTTAAGCTTACCCTGTGATACTTTTTGTGCTGTATGAGTAGGGTGGTTCTAGCATTTCAAAGGTATAGCTGTAGGGGGCTAGGAGAATATAGTGGTTGGGTCTTACCTGGATTTGATCTCTGGCACCAACTGACCTCTGGAGCATTACAGGGTATGGCCCTTCAGGCCCCAGGTACCTCCAGAAGAGCACTTGTGGGCCTCAACAGTGCAGGCTCTGAGCACCAATACACCCTTGGCTCTCACCATTGAAATGTCCATCAGGTTGGCTGAGCACTGCCAGGAGAGGCCTGCAGGTTCTCTAAGCACTCCTTGAGAAGCTCCAAAATAAAAAATATCGCAAGCATAGTTGTACGGACCATACTTACCACAATGACATTAACTTTAAAAGGTCTGTTCTCACAAGTTCTACTAGTAGTCCCACATGTGAAAATGTTAGTTTATAGAAAGTCCGCAACAAGCATCCAACTCACAGCTAAGGCAGCTGCACATCCAAGAACAGTTGATGAGTAAGAATAAATTTACCTGGAATTGGGGTATAAAAGGAAATTATTAAAGCTAGGCTACATAAGTGCTCCAAAATATATACACATCAATACATGAATCTCAGCTGAATAGTCTATAAATTACTTGTAAGTAGGTACCAAGAGTTCTTTTCATTTCCTACCTCACTGAACAAGTAGAGGGCTCCCTAACGATGTTCATACACAGGCTGAACTTAATGAGAAAAGGCAGATTAATCAATAGTGGATTTTTCTTGTAGAATATATATAAAGGACTTTTCCTTGAGGCCTATGATTTTAAAGAAAACATAAATGTAAAATGACATGCAAGAAAAAGGACTCTTCTCAATTGAGTAAATGTTTTTTGACCTACCTGCCTATTCTCAGAATAATGTCTGTGCTTTGGACTATACTGCGAGTGGAAAATATTGTAGTGTCATTGACTTTGGTTTCCTTAATTAGCTTAAGTTTCTTTATAGAAATCTCTGAGTCAGCTATTTTAATGATCATCAAACTGACATTGAACTCAGTTGCTAGCAGCCTATTCTATTAATGGTTTATTTCTAGTGTTTGTTATTAGAGCTGTACATTAAGGTATTGGGAGACATCTGGATATAGCAGTTGTGTTACCATTAATTCAAATAATACTTAGGGTCAGAGAGGGTCAGAGATGCTCACAACCAAACTAAATATGCTCCAGACCAACCTGACATAATAATCTGCTGAAACAGACCTGACAGTTGAGAAGCAATCACAAACCTTTTAGTATGGTGTTTCTCAAGCAAGGATAATTTTACATTTCTTATTGAAAGAAATAGGAATCAAAGTGCAGCTGTAATTAAATTGGCCCAGGCAGATGTGGGCAAAAAGAAATATTTGAAACCAATGGCCATGATCTCATAGACTAGTAAAATTTGTGCCAACACTTAGCTTTTAGGTGCAATAATAAAATGCCCTTCGGATCTGACATTAACAATCCAGTCAAGAAGACAATTCTTTAAATTGTTTTTTCAAGAACTTAAATAGAAAACAAGAAAACAATGCTGGCAGCTTTCCAATTTGTCTAAGTATACTTCTGGAAAGCTTATCCTGAATGCCAACTGCAAATATATAATGTAATGCCACAGTATTTTGGCAGACAAAACGTCACCTATCATTTTATTTCTTATTCTAACTAATGAAAACCTCTCTGTTATTCAAAATGCAGAGTTAAGCTTTATTCTTGTACTGAAAGCTGTCAGCCAGGCTTGAAATTTAATAACAGCTACCTGCTTCTCTCCTCTGCACTGCTTAAGTGGTTCTATGGGACTAACATTTCAGCTGATGGACATTTCAGAAGGGTAATAAACGCTTGAGGAAACATTTTTTTCCAGTCACCCATCTTCTTAGTTTCCACTGGGACTCTTTTGATAACTATTTCTCGTAAAGATCATGATTGCAGGTTAAAAACGATAAAAAAAAAAAAAAGCTCACAAAAATAAGTGTGCCTAGATGTGGTCAATGCTTTTCATCATGAATTCTAATGAAATACCTATTTTATGTCCCCTTGGGTATTTTTATTTCCTTTCATTATTTCTGTAAATTCCATGAATATTTTTGTGAGACAAAGATTTTTGAATCTATAATCATAAAAAGCTTTCAACATCTTGTTTGTGAATCATCTACCACTGAAAATGAACTTGTGATCTCATTATTAGCTTGTCAGACTTACTAAAAGAATGTTTTTAATTCAGGAAAGTGTGGTGACATAGGCAAAAAAATTTTGAAAACTAGTATTAACTTAAAAATATTACCAGAGTTTTCAGAAGCTCTGTTGTATGAATCCTTCTTACTAAGCTTACAAATTGCAACTAGGACATCCTTTTAGGTTCCTAAAAAAAATGTCAGGATTGTGTATATCAAATGATGGGAGCAAAGTTCATTATTAGAAGTTCTACTCTTATTGAAAAAGTAAATTTATTCCAGAGTTCATGGTTCTTAAATATTGTATGAAAGATTTGCATACAAAACTCAGATGCTTAAAAAGTTAAAGTTTAAGTCTGGAGCAATAGTACAGCAGATAGGGCACCTACCTTGCACATAGCTGACCTGGATTTGAGTGCTGGAACTCAAACCATACCCGGGTATGGTCCCCTGAGCACTGCCCAGAGTGATCTCTGAGTGCAGAGTCAGGAGTAAGCCCTGAAGCACAGCCGGTTGTGGCCGCAAAACAAATGGGGGAAAAAAAGTTGAAGTTTATTCTACAGTTTAAGTAAATAGATTTGGTTTCCTCCTTAATGTCCATGTCTCTCCTTTTACGAGTGCGTGACAGACATCATTTATCTTGTCCTCAATATCCGGTGCAGATGATAACATCCTGATCCTGTCTCTATATCAGCTGCATGCCACCAATGTAGGATGATTCGGTTCTACCCCATTCTCTTTCCCTAGACACATTCCTGATCTTAAATCTTCAGCTAGAATACTGTCATCTGTGACCCCTGTGCTGGGACTTGCTGCTCAATCATTTGTACTGGGCCTCTCGAGGACTGTACCCCAATGTCCTCTTGGTTTTTGTTGGTCTCTTGTCATGATCATGCTCACAAGAGAACCCCTACCATCCTGCCCTCCATCTGGGCATAGGTGAGGGTGCAAAGAAAGAGTTGCCTGGGGGATTTCTTTTATCTTCTATTATCTCCCTCCTCCAGCATTCTATTCTCTGTTTGGGCTAGGTACATTTTCAGAGCAGGACTGACAATGACCAAT